CATCCATCCATCCATCCATCCATCCAACAACTCCCATTCAACCTCTACCCATCCACCCACCTACCCACCAATTTACCTATCTATCCACCTATCCATCCATCTTTCCATTCAACCTTCCATCTAGCCATCCACCCACCCTCCCGTTTATCCACCCATCCATTGATTCATCTAACCACTACCCATTTAAGCTTCTATCCATCCACTGACCCACATATCCACCATCTATCCACCACTCATTCAACCTTCATTTACCCATCCATCTACCACCCATTCACCCTTCCATCTACCCACCTACCCATCCATCCATCCATTCAACAACTCCCATTCAACCTTCCATCCATCCATCTTTCCATCCATCCACCCACCCACCTACCCATCTACACATCCATCTACCACCCATTCAACCTATTTATCCATCCATCCACCCATCCATGAGTCCATTTCTCTCTCTTTCAGGAGAGTTTTACATTATCTCCCTAAAATGTTAAAGTTCAAAGGGAACTTTAAGTCAGGGAAGATATCATATGCACAAGCATTGCTTTTTTATATTGTTTTTCTTCCTCCTCACACCAACCACCTGCTAGGAAAGATTTTGAAGCTGTACACATTTCATCCCTGGGCTTTTCTTTTTTCTTTTTCTTTTTTTCTTTTCTTTCTTTTTATGCTTACAATGTCAAAACCTATGATTTATAAAAGAAATGATGTTGTACACATATGATAACCTCCCATTTGATTGTGTAAAATAGGTGTTCCCCCATTGTTACAGGGTTGGGGATAGAAAATGAAGCTTTAGCAAGGTCAGACCCCTTGGCCAGATATCAGCCCCAGGGGGAGAACATGGGCCAGCTCTTTCTACCCTCTCCTGCCCTACCACCTTAGCTGCTTATGACTCCATAGTTTTATGAAATATACCACTTAAGGCCACTCAAAAATGAAGACACCCCCAGGAACTGACAGTAAGCTGTGAGTCCCTGGGATCTGGTGTCACCTGAACCAACACCGCACGTACCTGGTCGAAGAGTTCAAAGAGTTTGGCGCTGGGCTGGTGGATGGTGCAGATGATGGACCTCCCTCCTTGGGCCAGCCCTTTCATCAGGGAGACCACCTGGAAGCAGGAGGCACTGTCCAGGCCACTGCAAGGCAAGGGGCACCGTGAGATGCCTGTGGGACCCCCCACCAAGCCATACCCCACAACACAGTGGGGAGGCCTGTCCTGCAAGCCTGAGCCCGTCATGTCTTCTGGAATCAGACAGGGAGAGGGAGAGAAGTCAGGCCTCTGTTCTGGGACCCCGGGACAGGAGAAGATGGGCAGGCAGAGCACATGCCCCCCACCCCCTTAGAGGTGACTCTAGGACCCCCTGCAAAAACTGATGGTGAAGGCAGGGCTCTTTCCTCTGCTGCTTTGGATTACCTGGTGGGCTCATCGAAGAACATGACGGGGGGGTTGTTCACCAGCTCCAGCGCAATGGCCAGGCGCTTCCGCTGGCCACCCGAGAGGCTTCCAGTCCGTGTGTTGGCACAAGACAGTAAGCCCAGAGCTGTCAGGATCTCCTTGACCTGGGGGAGCAGCAGAGCCCAAGGGGCCATCAGGGACTGTCCACCATGCCTCACCACCTCCAAGCCCACCCGGAAACACCTGCTGCCTTCCCCAGCCCGCTTGTGGGCACACACAGATGGGTTGCATATCAGGGCCCATCCCAGGCTGCCTGTGACCAAGTGGGTAGGTGCCTTTCCAAGTCCAAGGTCCTTGTTTGGGCCGAGGAACCCGGGGAGCAAGTGCTGGAGCCAGGCCCCCGGGGCTAGAGGCCCCTTTCTGCCTCCTGCTGGAGATCCAGCAGGCTCCTGCCCTTGTAAGCCTCACTCGGGCCCCAAAGGTGCTCAATGACCATGTGCAGAACAGGGGGTCAGCAGACACACAGCCGTGGGCAAACAGGGGTCTGAGGAGCACAAGGAGGGGACGTTGTGATGGTGACATGGGGGAAGCAATGAACACATGCAGCGTAAAGCTTGGCACAGAGGAGGGCCGGTAACCACCAGTGCCCATTAATGGCACCCTGCGTGGGGCCACGGCTCCTGCAGACCCACGCCACACCGGCCAGGTTCTCAGGAAGGAGGAGAGCCACCCGCTGGCACTCGTCACGGGAGACCCAGGGCTCCAATGGGGCCGCAAGGTCAGGAAATGGCTTGATGCAGTCACCACTTCCACGGGGGCCCTGCCCATGCCCCCCACCCCGGGGAAGCAGGTGGGGCCCCAGGATATAAACAGTCCACTGTGACTAAGCCTCCGTGTCCATTCCAGATCACTGACCCAGGTTGACTCGGGGAACAGAAGTCAGCTGACTTGATGGTGGTGTTCTGGTGTCTCCTGGACGCAGACCCCGGGATGGTGGGGGTCCACGGCTACCGCCCTATGTCCACCCCAGGCTCACCTCCCAGGGCCCGCTCTCCTGCTGTTCCTGCCCAGCCACTTTCCTGGCCCCGGGGGGCGGACCACAGTCCAGTGGCTTCTCCGGGGAGATGAGGTCATCCAGAAGGAGAAGGAACTCACAGGGAAGAAAATTTCCACTCTAGCTCTTGAGTTATGAACGCACGGTGAACGCACGGTCAGGACAAAATGCAGCCTGTGTGCCCGGATGAGCGGGGACACTACCCTCCCCCGGCCGGGGGGCAGGCGAGTCCGATGGACCTGGGTGCGGATCCCTTGAGGCTTTTTCCTTGCTGATCCATAAACCCAACACACTGCCCTTCTAGAACACAGTACATTCGAGGGACCCCAAATGGGAAAGGTCAGCGGGTCTGCCTGGGAAGGGCCATCAGGCCGGGGCCGGTGGGGAGGGCTCTCTGGCACAGTTTCCTTCCCCGGCGGATGGCACCTGTCGGCTTTCCCAGAGCCACCAAGCTTGGGTGGTCTTCTGGAGCCACAGCCCAAACTTGCAGAGGAAAAGTCACTCTGGTCGTTCCAGGCTTGCCTTTGGGGACCCCTGCAGCTCGGCCCATGCCCACTCCCTTCCACCGTCTGTCCTCGCCGGGCTCCCTCCTTGTGGCCGGGTGCCCCTCCAGACAGGATGCCGGAGGTGGAGGCAGACGTCAGTGCTGGCCCTTCTCCTGCCCCGTCTGCCTGCTTCTCCAGCGTCCTCTCAAGAGGGAGGCTCTGTAGGTCGGTTTTGTTTTAACACTGGTCAGAAAGAACAATGTCCCAGCCCTGGGGGACCTCACTCCGGAACAAGCCCCTTGCTGGGAACCCTCAAGGGCTGAGGCTGCTTTTCTGGGAACCAAGGAAGGCTGTCCACAATGCATTCTGTTACCTACTAGAACATTCCATTCTATTGTTTCCATGACATACAAAAAACCTCAGCCTAGGTTCAAGGGAAATGAGTCAGGGCAGACACTCCGCCGCTGTTTCTTCCTTGAAATAACCACGCGGTCCTGCGGATGCTTTCTTCAGAGAGAGGGGCCTACACTTGGCTGAGGACTGGGACGGGGGCTTCTGGTGAAAAGCGTGTGTGGGACCAGCTCCAGGCCCCATGGGGATGGCTCACAAGTCATGCTCAGTCCAGCAGCAAGTGAATCCAGAGACAGGCCAAGGCTCTCCCTCCCTCGGGAGGGCTTAGCCACACAGCCTGCACAGGAGACCCTCGCTGACTTGAGCCCTTCACTCTTGTAAACCCAGCTGAGACAGCACATGTCTGTCTCCTTCCACAGCTCAGGCCAGGTGTCTACATGACGTGCACACAGGCGTGGCCCACCGGAGACGCCTCTTCGCCCTTCCAAGAAGACGGTCTCGCCCCGTCCCTTCTGCTAGAGCAGGCAGAGTGGGCTCCCGTGGCCTCCCCAAGACCCTGAGTGGCCACCCAATGGTGCAGTCCCCACCCCTGCAGTGTCTGGGTTCCAGGAATCCATTTCTTCCCTTTGGCCCGCAGACTAAAAGCTCCCCAGCAGCATGGGGATGTGCGCCCCTCTCCCGCCCACGCAGGGCCGCTGACCCCGGGATTCCCTGACCGATCCTGACGGTTCTGAAGGGTGGTGGCTGGGCCATGGGGTGCAGGGGACAGGGGGAGCCCCAGCGACACCCGGCACGGTCTTCCTGACACATTTACATCACGTTCACGATTATGCGCCACAAAAAAGGGAATTGACGCCATAAACAGAATTGCTATTAATGTCTCTTAACTGGGCTCACCGCACAGCTCTGATTTATGGCAACAAGGCAAGTTGCACCGCTTGGGGTAACCCTGTTGATTCTCCTCGTTCTGCTGCCGGACCCTCGTCTTCCAAGGGTTTAAGAGACGAGATGGTGTCACGCGTGAGTGGGATTTCGCCCAACTCCACTCTCACATGGAAATCCCCCCAGTGCCAGGCTAGCCGTGGAGTGGAGGAAGGAAGCTAAGTTTCCCGCAGATGAGGAGTAAACATAAATGGGTCCCGCCTGCTGTACGGGGCTGTACGGAGCCGTATGGGGCTGCGGGGGCCACGGGGGCTGTGGGGGGCTTCCCGGCCCGCAGCGGCTGCTTCCCTGTACCTGGGCCCTGGGCTTTGGGGGAGCAGGGGAGGGGCGATGTAGAGGGTTAGAAGGTCTCCAGCAACCTGGCGACTTGATCTTTTTTTTTTTTTTTTAAAGCTGCTTAATGTGTAAGAACCAAATTTCTTCTTGTGAATGCGTGTGGGTGGAGGCTGGTTATTTTTAAGGGAATGACTAACCATCTTCATTGTTAGTGTTTTATAAAAAAACAACAACAATGGGGTATAAAGCATATCGGGTGCCAAAAGGGGCAGATCTCGCGCCTGGCTGACCGTCGAGGCTGGTGTGCTCCAGCCGCCTAACCCTTCCCGCTGCGTCCCTGACGGCGGGCGGCCAGGCCGAGATCTGTAAGTCTCGGGACAAGGAGGCCCCTGCTGGACCCCCAGCTGCAGGGCCAGAACGCACCCTGAGATGTCACCGTCCCCGGCACAGAAACCTACGTGACAAACCAGCAAACAAAACCAGTGCCCAAAAGTCCCTCCCCACGCATTTGCCAAATGGATTTCGCGCACTTTGGGGACACCCTGTGGCCCGAGCGCACACTCACCATCTCCCTCCTGCCTTCATCCTTCTCCTGGAGCTTCAGATGTGCAGACACCTGCAGGGGTGGGAGCAGAACAGACGGCGATCAGAAGGGCAAACCTCATGCTGACATGACGGGGGACACCCCTCAGGGGCATGGGCTTCCCACCCGCCTTGGCTTAACAAAGGCAGGGCCCGGGAGAGCAGTGAATGTCGGGGATGCTTGCTGTCATCTCAGATGGCTTCTTGGCTGTGCCTGGAGGGCACACATCTTTTTTCTGAAGCTCTTCTACTTGAACCCCTCCTGAGCCCCCGGTGCCCTGGTCCCAAAGGTCGCATAGAGGCAGGATAAGCTCTTAGGGGTCCCAAGCTGGGTCTGCTGGTGAGGCCCAGCCCGGTGGAGAGTTCTCCCCCCTCCAGAACACTCAGTCCCAGGGACAGGGATGAGGACAGCCTGCAGAGAGGGCTGGGGGCAGACTGCGTATCCGACATCTTACCCCGCTTCCCTTTGCTGAGATAAGAACCCCCTGGAGTAACCCTTCAGATGGCACGCCGGGCAGCCCCTCTCCAACCCTGCAGAAAGGACGCTTTGCCCCGTCCAGGTCAGAGCACAGGGCAAGACCTCTCTTGGCAGGGAAACCAAGGCAGATGCTCGTTTACTGACCAGGGCACAAGGCAGGACAGCGGAGAACGGGGAGGGCCTGGAGCCCGGGCACTACCTTTTGCAGTGGGTGAGGAAAAGGCAGGAAAGCAAGCGGCCCGAGCATACAACCTACGTCCAGGCTGCCCCAGACCCCATCGTGCAGGCGCCCGGGCTCACGGCCACGCCGCTGGTGACTGTGTGAGCCTCTGTGCTTACAAAGGGGCCTGGGAGTGGGCCCTGGGGCCTGGGAGGCCGGGGGTGTGCAGCAGGGGCTGGTTTCACTCCCCTGTGACCCTGGCTGGCAGGGGGAACAGAAGACCAGACCCTCAGGGCCCCAACTCAGGCGTCAGACTGGGGAACTCAGGCCGAGAGCCACAAATAAGTCAGGCAGCTGATGGCCCACGGGCGGGAGGATCTTGGCCACAGAAGGTGGGGCCATAACCTTCTCCCAAACTTGCCCATGACCTTGCCATCCCGAGTCCAGGAGAACCGGAGGTGCTGGGAGTTTGTTCTCAATGATGCTGTCCCAACAGCAGGCCTAGCATCAGAGCCACACTTGGCAGCGCACAGGTGGCCCATGGGGCACCCGGGCTCTGCCAAGGGAGGCCGGGTGGGGGCGGGGGGCTCACCATCATGGCCTCCTGCACCGTGAGGTGCGGCAGCAGCATGTCGTCCTGCATGATGTAACAGGACACCTTCCGGAAGCAGCGCAGGTCCCGCGGCTGGCCGTTGATGAGCACGGCCCCCTTCATGCCGGTCTCCCTGCAAAGCCCACGCAGTGCACGGTCAGCTCCTCCTCCAGGGCCTCGGGCAGGGCCCCTCCCAGCAGCTGCCCCGCAGACCGGTTCTGGCAGGGATGCCAGGGGCCGAAGGACGGGGGTACTCAGAGCAGCTCCAGGACGCGCAGGGAGGAGCGGCGTGGAGAACATGCCGGGGGGGATGGGGAAGGGGGGCCAGACCTGTAGGCACAGCGGCCAACGGGCGGACATGTGCGTGGGGGCTCCCACCTGTGGCCCCCGGGTTGGACAGACTCCCTGACTCTGCTGGGCTTTGGGAGATTGGCTTCTGAATGATCTCGTGAGGAGCCACGGCTACACCGGAGGCCCCCAAGGCCAGGACTCTGCAGCTAAGGGCGTGGCTGCCCCCGTCAGAACCAGTTCCCGAGGCCTGAGAGGGTTCAGCTCCCGGGGCACAGGGCGCTGGAGGACCGGGCCAGGCCCTGTACCCCTGCGGCCCAGGGGATGCTCCTTGTCCCCTCATGCATCAGGTCGGGGGATGCCAGCCACCTTCTCCCTTCCCCCTCCCCCAGGCCCACTGTGCACTACGCCTCCCTGTGCTCTCCCCGTGCGTCATCCCAGCCCCTGGGGGACTTGGGAGGGCCCAGGCTTTCCCCGAAGGACCCGCCTCCTAGATGTCCCATAGCACAGGGACACCAAGGGGCTGTGGCGACCAGCGAAATCACTTCTGGTTTCCAACTTGTCTTGGCCAGTACAGCGACCTTGGGCTCTTTCCTCCAGGGGAAGCACTGGCATCCCGCAGCTGCCCTGGGAGCCAGGCTCGGGCCCAGGCACCTCCAGGCAGCGGTCAGCGGCCCCAGGCTGCCGGAGCGCCCACGGGCCAGGCAGTGGCTGTGGTGTGGTTGTATCGAAAGTGGCCATCCCTGTCCTGCCCCCACCATGGCGCCCCCGTGACACGGGGCCTTGGCCTCAAACTTCTGATATGAATTCAACAGGCAGAAACCTGCCATATGGGAGGTTTTTAAAAATCCTAATTTCTGGCATTAAAGAGTAATTCAGAGGGCGTTAAGGAAAGGGGTGACAGCTGTCCTCTCTTCCAGGAGATGAAAGCATTGCTAGTGTTAGCAGAATTCGCTAACGCTGGCAAGTGGGAGCCCGAGAGCAGACGACCGCTGGCTCTAAGAGGGGAATTCAACACGTGGGAAGATTCCCTCTCTGGCCGCTGCCCCAGGAGAGATGCTGGGGGGACTCGGGTGCTAACACAGGCCCAGGCTAGAGCACGGGGGCCCTGGGCCCAGCCTCACTGTTCTCCTGCAGCTTACCTTATGGTTTTTTCAATCTTTTTTTTCCCCCTTAAATTAGAGAAAGGGTGGGGTGGGGAGAGGGAGAGAGGACTCTCAAACAGACCCCCTGAAGCGCCCAGAGTCTGACACGGGGCTCGATCTCATGACCCTGAGATCATGACCCGAGTTGAAATCAAGAGTCGGATGCTGAGCCGACTGAGCCCTCCCATCCTAAGACCCCTTTCTGCTCAACCCCACAGGCCTCCCAGCGTCCGTACAGACCTTAAGAATGACAGGACAGACCCAGGAGGGCCTCGCCTTTCTGGTGGCTGCCCCAGGCCAACAACAGCAAGACCCCCTTCTCTGCGGCAGGTGTCCTCACCTGTACCCGGCCAGAATGTTCATGAGTGTGGACTTCCCAGCCCCGGAGGGCCCCATGATGGCCACCAGCTCCCCGCTGTTGAACTTGCCGGAGATCCCCTTCAGGAGGGTCTTGTATCCTGCAGAGAGCACATCATACTGGTTCCCAGCCACCGCGGGGGGCATGGGTTGACCCCCTCGCAGGGGGGCAAGCGCGCACGTACGCCAACGACTCAACCGAGGTGATAAGCAAGATTTTTCACGCGTGTGTAAACACCGAGTTCTGGGCAAGGACGTCGGCCTCCTCCGTGCCTCCTCCACATCCAGTGGGTTCCCTTAGCCGCTCCCGGCTCATGGGCGCCCCACAGGGTTCATGGGCCGCTCGCACGCGGGTTCTCTGGCCTCTGGGGAAGCCACCTCACCTAGGACCGAGGAGGCAGGTGCCCCCCCCGGGACCCCATAGCCAGGGTGAACAGATCTCAGCCTGGGGCCACGCCACCGGCCGTGCCCCCTCCCCCCCACGACGGTAAGCAAGTGCCTCTATTAATTAAATGATTCTTATTTTGTGTATTTATCATTTATACACACATGAATTATTCATTGTAAAATGGATGCATGTCATTATCTTATAAATAAAGTAGCGCTAATTAATAATCAAGAGTTTACTATTTTGCAGCCACATTGAATTGCTCTGAATTTCTGCCAAGTCTCCGTCCCAGAGCTTCGTCAAAGGGAAACCCGTCCCATCACACTGCAAGCCCTGTCAACCTTCCAGGAGATATAGCAGAATCGGAGCAACTGCACCCACAGGGAGCGACTCCCGGTTCGGGAACGTTCTCTCAGTTCCTGAGAAACGCTGTCCGAGGAGACCCTCCAAGGACCACAGTCGCGCGAACGACGTATTTGACCTCCCATACCCAGCGGCGCAAGGGGCAGTGATGCCGTCCACAGAGCCCCCTGTTCTAGACTTTCTCCCGGGCCACTGACCCTGTGCTCCCAGCAACCCCGCACCTGCGTGGGCCTGGGGAGTTCTCGCCCAGCGGCCTCCTCGTCTTTTGCAGGCGGAACCCCTCCGCACCCCGCCTGTCGCTGGGTGCCACCTCGATTTGGACGGGGCGTCCCCAAGGACTAGTTTCATCAGGCAGAGAGGAGCGGAAGCAGAAGGCAGGAAGCTTGTGGCTCAGCGATCTGCCTCATTACGCAGAGCGACAGTCGCCTGGGGAGGGCTGGTGTCGCTGGGTGGGAAGGGGGCAGAGGAACGAGGCGTGCACGGAGTCTGGAGGAGGAGCTCACATGCCTGCCCCTGGGACGCAGGTGACTCTGGTCAGCAAACAGGCACCAGAGCCAAGGGAGAAAAGTGCGGGGAGGGGCCCGGACCCCAAAGCGTAGAGTGTGTCTGCCCCTCGGTGGACAGACACGTGGAGAAGCCGGGGGACAGCAGAGGCTTTCTCCTCTGCAAGGTCAAGCTCCTGGTGCAGGGGCTCTAGGCAAGCAGCCCGGGGCCCGGGCCATGGGGACCTGTATGACATCACTGAGGGAGCACTCCTGCCCGGCAGGCGTCTGTGCGTTCATTGCCGGCCTCCTGGCAGCTCAGGTCAGGGTCGGGGTTACGAGCAAACCTTCCCTTAGGCTGCTGACCTGGGAATCAGGAACCGCCTGAGGGTGCAGATGAGTCTCCGAGATGACCACGAGATGACCATCGGTCATTTGGAGGCCAAAGGCAGTCCCCTGGCCTGGGGGTAGCCCCGCACCCTGGGGCTCTGAGAGGCCCCTTCCTCGGAGCAGCACCCACGGGGGATCCTGTGACAGCATCCGGGGCTGTCCCCTGGTATTGGGGTCACAGGCTGCGATGTCCAGGGACAGCTTGCCAGGAAGCCCACCATGGGAGCTGTGGGAGCAGAGGCCGTTTCAGGGGAGGAGGTGGACCGCTGCGGTGTAGCCTGGGGTCTTGTCATTTACAGCCAGCGGCGGGCACGGTGGGTCTGCCCATGCACCCCCGAGCTGGCTGTAGCAGTGCATGGCCAGGTCCCACAAGGCCGGGGAGGCTCCAGACTTGTGCCTCCGCGGGCGACGCTGGCTCCCAGCGCAGCCTGAAAAGACAGGTGGGCTGCGGCGTGCTGGACGGGAGGGGTCCTCCCGCGTGGGGCCTGCACGCGCCAAGCAGCTGAGACAGGGCAGGACCGGGCTCGGGGCTGTGCCTCTTCTAATCTCAGGAACCTGCTTTTCTTCAGAAAAAAAAAAAAACACACGTTTGGTATAGAAGAATGTCAAAGCGACAGTGGAAGGTGACGTCACCTTTCTGTCCTCCTCCCGGACCTGCAGAGATCCGCGTGCCCACTTGGAGGTGGAGAACTTCATGTGGTGCTGGGGGGCTGGGAACCCCCTTAGTGGGCTTTGAGGGGGTCCCACCCATGCACAACTCTGTCTTCATGTCATGAAAGCATCCTTGGCTGCAGAGCCTTGTGCGTGTCCCCTTCTAGAAATACGAAATGGAGGGGAGGCGCCCCAACCCCCTGTCCTACTTCCCGCCCAGGAGCTCCACCCCCCACCCAGCTCTGGGCACCATGGAGGGGCCGCCGGCTTCCTCCCCCGTGTGCCGTGGACACTCGTTCACACAAATGCTTGTCCTGTGGCCTCCAGTTGGGGTCGTGACACCCCGGGTATCCCAGGGACAAAAACCACGAGGGGCCGGGCCACGCAGGGTGCAGGCAACCCATCCCTAAAACAGGCCAGGGGCCAAAGCAAAACCCAGACAGGAGAGAGAGAAGAGGAGAGATGAACAGAGAGGACAGTGTCCGGTGCCTCCATCACAGGGCTGGGAACCCTGCTCGGACACTGGGTCTTCCCATGTCAGCTTCCCGGGATGCCGGCAAGCTCTGGCACTGGGACCTCGGTTAGCGGGGCTTTGGAGGGACACAGTGTCTGTCCAACCGACAAGGTTCAGAGAACGCACAGCAACATCATTTTGGCTGAGTCGGGGGCACACAGATGTCTCCTTTGGTAGAAAGGAGCCCTTAGAGGAGACGCTTGGGGAGCAGCCCCGCTCTCGGGCACGTGTCCGCACTGGGTGTGCTCGGGGCGAGCCCAGCACCAGCGCGCTCACATCTTCCCGTTTGAGCCCCACGGCAAGCCCAGCACTAGGTTCTTCCCCGTAAGCTGCAGACGAGAAGCAAGGGCTCAGAGAGGGTTCATGGCCTGCCCACAGTCACACAGCAGGTCAGCAGTGAGCCGACCTTCCCACCACGCTGCCCAACCTGGGAGTGTCTTCCCCCTCGGGGCAGGAGCATCTGCCCTGCCCAGAACCACAGCGGAGAGGTGAGGGGACCTGTGGCGTCTCCTGCTCATGGTCAAGGTCAGCCAGACTCAGGAATGTGCCTTCAGTCTGCTGGGCGGAGACCCTCCCGGAGAACCGGAAGCCAGGACATTCCTTTCCTCCCCAAAAGACAAAATCCCCCATCGCCAGAGACCAAGGATGCCCCCTGCCTGGGTCATGTTCTGGATCTAAGGCCAAAACCTCTGTGTGCATCCAAAGAGCTCTGAGCGGGTCAAAGCCTCCCTTAGCCTTCAGGTGCTTTGTTCAATTGTGGGGTGCTGGAGGGTGTTCTGACACTGGGGGAGGACCCTGGCTTCTGTTCCAGACCCCCGGGTGCATACGGGAGGGTGCCTGTCCTCTGACCGGAACGGGTGCTCCCGGAGGCCTCCTGCTGTAGACCCGCCTCCTGCCTCCCGCGGCCATCCAGCCTAGCGAGAAGGGGCAGCACGGGAGGGGGGTTCGGCTCCTCGCGGGCAGCGCCGGCAAACTGGGCCCTGCCGTCTGAGCCCTCGGGGACCCATGAGGCCCCTGACCCTGGTTACCTGCAGAAAACAGTAAGCAGCCTGTCCCGCAAACTCCAGCAAGCCACCGGGTCCCTCGGCTTTGGTTTCCCAAGTTGCGGCTTCAGAAGCGGCGGCTGGTGGGCCAACCCCCAGGTCTGGCTTCGGAGCCAAACCAAGCAAAGGCGCGCTGTCCCCCTGTGCCGGGCTGGGCCAGGTGGCAGATAGGAGCAGTGGGTGCCCGGAGAGCCGGGCTGAATCTGCTGTTGTCCCAAGGTCAAGTGCCATCCTGACCCTTCAGCGCGCTGAGCCCTCCGGGGAACACGCCCGCCGCACACATCACTGGGGACAGGCTGTTGTGGCGCATGGAGCCTGCAGGGAGAGCCACAGAGGGCTCCCCACTCATGACCGTGCCGAGGCGGCCACCCCACGCAGAATGGGAACCACCGGGCTCTGCGGTTTTGCCACCGGACCGCTGGGCGTGGCCACATTTCCAGACACCTTATTAGGAACGGAGCAGATGCCGCAGGCGGTGAACCTGCCCTGAGAACTTCGGAGTGGGGTTCGCCCCGGCACCCGGGCAGCTGGGCTCCTTCCACGTCACGTCTCTCGGGCAGGTGTGCTCACAAGGTGGAGGAAAGGCAAGGTAAGGGATGGGGTGCACCTGCTCCGGGGGAGAATGGGGGACCCAGCTCTGACAGGAAGGGGCCGGGAGGGGGTGGGACGTCACCCAGGAGCCAGGCGGACGCCGGCCAGCCCCAGCTCCGTAGGAGGAGGGGTGACGGCCTGTCAATGCTCGCTGGTGGACAGCCTCAGGGCTGCTGCTCCCCATCGCTGACAGAATTTATCCTAGCCAGGAAGCCACACTGCTGGGGGGGAGGGGGGCACCCGGCCACCGTCTCCAGAGTCACCCACAGGGGCACCTCCTCACGGGCCCTCAGGGCAGCTGCCATCTGCATGGGAGCACAAGGAAAGGTGACCTCAGGGCCCATTCTCTGATAGAAGGTTCTAGTTCATGTCTCCAAAGCTCACCTAGGCACAACAGAAGCGTGTTCCGTCAAAGCAATCCCCACCTGCCCTGGGGTTTTTCAGGCCTTGAGTGTTGGGGGGCTGGGGTGAGAACTCGGGGTGGATGGAGGTATGGAGAGAGGCAGGGATGGAGGGATGGGGTGGGGGATGGGGGATGGAGGGAGGGATACAGGATGGCGGGAGGCAGGGAAGGATGGGGGGATTTGTGCCCACTCCTGTGGCAGACAGAATACTAACCCCCAAAGATGTCCACACCCTATTCCTTAGAATCTGTGTTACTTGGCAGACGGGACTAAAT